ATGGCCATATCATCTTGAAACATTGGTTCCCATATGATCACCGAAGTTAAGTAATGTCAAGCTTGATCAGTACCTAGATGGGTGACTGTTTGGGGATACCATGTGCTGTAAGTTTGAATGTACAGATGATGTGATGGATAATGGTGCAGAATTGTTAATCAGAGCCAAATTTCAATTCTAGTTAGGTATTTTACATTCACTTACATGCACCTGGTGATCCACCCTTCTTCCCCTAATTATGGGTTTGTTGGGATCCGTCTACCCAAGTTTTTGTCAGGATTCCAAACATTGGTGCCTGCAAAATGATCTGAACTTGTAACCTTCTGATATGGTTTTATTGTTTGAATAGCACTCCTTAAGACTATATTTTTTTTTATATATATATATATATATATAATTCCTATAGGTTAATTAGCGATATTTATCTCACTGAATCATTATCTCAAAAAAATTCTTACAATCTAAAAATATTTTCTGGCTTTAAATAACCTGCAAAGGGTTAAGCTGTAGCGAATAAATAATCTTATTTTGATAGTTGAATTTTGGTCGATATGTTCATGAAATACAATAAGTTTTGACAAATGACAAGCCAGTCTACGAGAAAATGTGGTGCATATATGCCCAGTGTAAGATTCGATGTTGCTTTTTTTGCTTACCAATATTGGAGTTGCAATTTCCCAGAAGACCTGGGAATATGAAAGCAATGGAAGGAATTTATATTGGAAGGAATTTTTGAAATTCTGAGTTATTGACAATAACTAGATTAGATATTTTGAACATTTGATAATAAATTATAAATTTGATTTATTTCTTGGGTTTGTAGAAAATTTAGTTGTTCACATGTTAAAAATCTGAACCTCAAACAATAGAAATGAAGAAAACATTGATGTGCTTGTTAATTAAATGATTTGTATTTACAAACAGATGTACATGAATTTAAAGAGTCAAAAAAAGGAGTAAAAATAGTCTTTAGTTTTTGTGCAGTTGGTCTACATAAAAAGTTGTGGTTTAGAAAAGACTTCGAGGAGTTTGTTCACAATAAAAAGACGAGAAAGAGTTTGAATGTCAGCAAATATTCATTGACAATCCTTGCTACTGTTTTTGGAGATGATTTATTTGAAGTTGCCGACATGTTTTATTTTTAAGTATGCTCTTGGAGGTGAGGGAGAAAAAAAACTATGTAGCCACATCTTGTCTAAACAGTTTGGAGACAGTCACATATATCTTTAAAGTTAAAATCAGTTTGTTTTTAAAATAAATTTTTATAAGTAATCAACAGTTAATCTAGAGAAGTGAATGCCATATTACTTGTCTGAAAGAAGTGGGGTGAGATGCTTAACCAATTCAGATTTGATTAGAGATAATCTGTATAAGTTCTTTAAGACTGGGACTATAGAAGAGGATTTCCAACTAAGCAGGAAAGTGACAAGCAGCAAAGCGTTTATTGTAGAGTTTAGAAGAACAGGAGCAAATATAGGGGTATGTTTCTTAAAAACTATTGCAAAGATATCAAGTCGACAATGTTTTGAGGGAATCTAGTTTAGAGATGATAGCAGAAATCATATCACTCAATAGTCTCGGTTCTAAGAGAAAAATCAGGCAAAGTTACTCCAGATGAATCAAGAGTAGAATTTGAAGAGAATTTCATAGCCAGACATTTTTTATCAGATGTGAATACCTCAAATGGCACAAAGAGACAATTTTATTTACAATTTGGTGTTGTTTAAGACAATATATAATAAATAATATTTACTGGGTACACAAGTTTGGACAGACAGTTTTTATATAGTGAAATTAATGTCCCCTGACAGGAAACAAACCTGTTTTCCCTTTTTAATGATTTTCATTAAGACTCTCAATCTCTAAACCAGTAGACACTGTGTGAAAAACAGTTGTCTACTAAAACATGTGTATCCACTAGATACATAATTTTGGATTTTGTCAACTGTACACTATAGTAGGATCAGTTGGGCATTGTCTGTGGGAGAAAGAGAATCAAGATGTAATTCACTCCACCAGAAATTTGGCAATGGCATGCTTTACTGCTTGGCATTCATGCCAGAAGCTCCAATATGAACATTTCAGAGTGTTTGGGTGTCAATCTGAAATCATGTGGAGGATTTGGAAACAGTTGGAGGAGTCAGAGGGTGATGTTATGCCTCCGGGGCCTCATACTCAACACAGAGGCCTACATCAAATGCCTTGAGAAGGTAGTACTGCCCAAGGTCAAAAGGATGGTTGCTGGAAGACCTGGTATCTGGCAATAGAATTCTGCACCATGCCACACAAGCAGGAGAACCCAGTGATGGATGTTGGACAATTTCTATGACCATATCACCCCCTACATCTGGCCACCTAACTCTCCCTCTTATGTGTGGGGTGCAGTTGAGTGAGAGACCAAAAAACTCCTTGTAACCCCAAAGATGGACTGAAGGCAAGAATTATGACATCATTCACCACCTTTAACAAGGAGATCATCCAAAAGAGTTGCAGGAGATTCCAGAGTCGTCTGAAGGCCATGGTTGAAGCCAATGGCAATTTTATTGAATAAATTTACTCTTTAGTATTTAAAGATATTTTTGTGTAATTTTGGTAAATATCTGTTAAAATGAGATGTCAGTGTTATTTTTCATTTTTGCATAATTTTGATGACAATTTATCCATCGCACCGTGTACATATGAGGGTGGCCCCTATTCTTGCAAATTTAAAAATTTAAAATGGATTTCTACTGACAGCATTCCATACTGAAGATCCCTGACAAAAGTTTTTTTTTTTTTTTTTTTTTTTTTCAACCAATTAATAACAGTATGCTCAGTGACCTTGAATATTCTTCTGATTGTTTGTATTCCATAATTTCTCTCAGGGAAGTTAAAAAAAATAAATAGGTCATCGATTATCATGTCTTAATCTGCTATCATTAGACATGTTCACTTGATTTTTTTAAATGTGCTTAAATTGAGGGTGTGCTTGAACAAAATTTTATGATATGCAACAAATAACAGGGAATAAGTGTAACAATTGCATTTCATTTTTAAATTAAGTGAATTCATATTTTACTTTTTTATGAAAGAAGTAAAATTCTGTTAAATTTGAAATAAAAATCATAAAAGAAAATTAAAATATTTTATTCTTTGATGATTGAGGGAAGTGGTTTGTGTTGCAGCATAATTTTCAGGTTGAATTTCACTTTCTCTTCTGATTTGGGCATCATTACATCAAGCCCAGATGTGAAGTGATGGTCACGGATTCATTCCATGCTGCATCTCAAACAAATATACTGGTAGAAAGCCATGTTCTGACTTTCACTCCCAGATCAGTTTACTAATGATGAGGGGGGTGAGGGGCTTTGCCAATGACAGGATCTTGAACAAAAAAAAAAATCAACATCCTCTACCAAGTATTCTAAGAAATAGGACTCAAGATAAACCTTTCCAAAAACATCAACTATGATCTGGAATTGGAATGAAAACAATGATGGCTCCTACACTTGAATCTATAATAAAAATTCAGGATGTGGAATTACTAAATATTTCAAATACCATGCTGTATGGATCAGTCAGAACAAATTTAATATAAGAAATTGAATAGAAAATAGGCTGTTCTAGGAGTAGTTTTGCCAATCACTAAAAAAGTTATTTTTAATCATTTCACCTCAAGGAAGACCTCAGTGACACAATGACACCACAAGGGGTTACTGAGAATGAAACTTTAATGAGGAGAAAGAACAATAAAAGAACAGGTTTCAGGAAGACAGAAGATGGCAATAATGCCACTAAGATGCAATGGGTTACTGAGAGTGAAAGAATGAGAAGGCTTTAGGGAGGAGAAAGGACAATAAAAGAACAAAATTCAGGAAGACAAAAGAATTTGTAGGATTATTATTATAAATAAAAAAAAAAGTATAAAATAATAATAATAATAAAATTTTTAAATAAAACAATAACATAAGAACATTGTGTAAAATAAATAAGAAAAAAAATACTCCCAGCATGCAACAAAAACTATTCCTGTCGGAAATACAGACTTCAGAGTAAAACATACTAAATTCAATCTCTTCACCATGAACCTTGCTATTGGCAACACATGTCTAACTTCTCTCTGTGATTTGGTGTGTAATAACATAGTAATTTCTCCCTTTTATCACATGTACCATAAGATAATTGTAACCTAAAAAATACACACACCAATACACACAAGAAAAATATAAATAAATTGTATAAAATTAACATACAATTTTCCATACTTTTCCTGTTGTGTGGATGTTTTATTTGCTGTCAAGTATGCTTTTATCTCTGAACACAAGGCTAATTTCTGCTGTTATGGTGTGAGTGAATAATCACCCACATTTTGGCGAGTGCTGACACGCATAAAAAAAAACAATCACCCACAAATTACTACAAAACTAAAACATTATCCTAAAACTTGAAGCATGTTCTTAAATAGCCTTGTCAAATCAATACATTCATATGGGTGTCATCAGTGACTTCCATAGGGTTGCTGACCCCCACACCCCAGGAAAGCTAAGCTTCAACACCCTTACAAGTATAATTTTTTTTTAATTTTTCACAGGGAGAAAAACTGATAATGTAGAATGAGTTTATTACAATTTACAACTTACTACAGGTTAAAGAAAACAGTCATTATCCTACCTAAAACATTTTTTCTAGCCTTTAGAAAATATTTCCAAGGCACTTTCTAAACTTATGTTTACAAAATTATTTGACAAAATAGCCGAAGAATTTAATGTCGAGAGTCATGGACAACCACAAGTGTTTTTATAAACTTTAGATTTGGAAGATTCCAAATACATGGAATAGTGGCATGATGGCACCCTGGGTGACTGCCTAAGTTCTCAATACCTTGAGCCAGCCCTGAGTACACCACCAATTTTCAGGACTCTTGGTTCCATGAACCATAGTGGATTATCCTTTTTGCCAGACTAATAGAATTTATGTAATACCGATTCCATAATGTACTGCTGACATGCTAATTATGATTAATAATATCCCTACAGCATCATTGACTTACTGAAAACTATTATAAATAAATTTTAGACATACAGGTACATTCTGTGGCTACCCTAGGATGGCTGGAACCCTGGACAAGCAGA